CATCGTCAACCGTTAGCATCGCTGCAATATCATACATCATAATACTCAATACTTGGAGTTCACGACTAAATGAATTCATGCAAGTAAAGACAAGGAGATAAATGTAGGTTCAAGCCCATAATCACATGGATCTTGATCCACTTACATCATACATCTTGGAGAAATTTATCAACCCTTGTCTTTCTACTTCTTATTAAGCTTTCATATTATCTGTGCATTATTAAGTTTCTTAACAGTATTGAAACATAAATGCACACTGTGAATCTCATCTAAAGTAACCAAGTTTGGTGTCTATAACATATCTTCGTGCATTTCCTAAATCAACATGCATTTCGCCATTTCCTGAGCCTAAAAATGTATTTCCGTGCACTTAAGCCCACAAAGGCATGACTAGTATACTCAACTCATAGCAACAATAAATGAATAACCACAATTCATGATAGCGTTCGCACAATTTCAGATTTATGATGAACATAGAAAATTGGTAAAATATAATCCAGTGAAGATTTCACCGTCAAAATCCATTCTAATCATCACGAATTGAATAAAAAACCCCACACACAAGGAAGGGAGGTGGGAGAGGTCAAGGAAAAAGAATATCATTACCGATATCGCATTCAGTCCCGATTGCAAGTACGGTAGCCAAATACTTTGTATCGGACCCACGCTTCTTAAGCTTAACCTGGGTATAATGCTCGACAGAATGAGCATTAGTAAGCACCCTCCTTCCACCAATCACAAATCCACTGCTACTGGAGCTATATTGCCTCTTTCTCTGCCAAGGAAGCGAGAAATTCGGTTCCGTATGCACACAAAACACCTTCACAACAGCATCCATCGCCGGCACGACTCTCGCAATACCCGGCCACTCCGGCTGCGCCCGCTCCGCAACGACAGCAGCCGGCAAAACATCGACGGAAGCAGTAAATTCCCCCTTTTCGACTCCACGAGAGCCACGTCTAGTGGGAGACAATTGCGGGAACTTGTCGGGATTCTCCACATGCTTCGAAAGCTTCTTCGGCCTCCCACGGCGGTTCTGGTGGTGTTTGGAAGTGGAAGCTGGGTCCATAAGTTCAACGTTGCTGACTGAAAAAACATCGTCCATAACCATCGCAACACTGGTAGCCGTGGCGGTGGTCGGCGGAGGAAAATCTTGGGCCTCCGGCTTGGCATTTTTAGGCTTCCGGCCTCTTTTACGCTTGTTTTCTCCCATTTCCGACGAATTGAGAAGGAGATTTCAAGGGTTTATCGGACGGAAAAAAATGGGTTTTCAATTTTCCAGTGTTCCTCTGAACCCTGAAATTCCGAAGAGGCGAAATGTAAATCGGAGAGCGCAAAATCGAATGGCGCCTGCGTTTATGACGCCTTTTATATGTTCTTTCCATCTCTTAAATTTATACATAAAACATTTTTTTATTATTATTTATTAAATAATCATTTTTTTTACTTTAGAAGTCCATTTTTAAGCATTTTAGCAAAATTTTGGCTTTTTTTTATTGCCACTTGCATGTCATTCCATGTTTAAAATAATTTTTTTAATATTTAAATTAAATAAATAAAATAATATTTATTGTCTATTTACGGTCCTTAAAAAGGATTCTGAGTCCACGTGTTTAATAATAATAATGATAATAATAAAAATTATCCAATAATGCTTGGGTCCACCGAGTAAAGAATTATTAGATAATTGATAAACGATCATTTAAACTTTGGTAGAAATTAATTTTGTGAGATTCCACAACGGTTCAAGAGGGAACGAAACATCTCTTATAAGGGTGTAGAAACCTCTCTCTAACATACCCGCTTAAAAACTTGAGAGTAACGACAAGACGTAACGGGCCAAAGCAGACAATATCTGATAGTGATGGGATTTGACTGTTACAAATAGTATCAGAGCCAGACATCAAGCGATGTGGCAACGAGGACACTGAGCCTCAAGAGGGGTGGATTGTTACTAGCGCTAGGCTTGAATTGTTATAAATTATATCAGAGCCAGACAAACGATCGGTGTGCCAACGAGGATGCTGGCCACTGAGGGAGGGTGAATTGTGAGATTCCATATCAGTTGGAGAAGGGAACGAAGCATTCCTTATAAAGGTGTGGAAACCTCTCCCTAATAAACATGTTTTAAACCGTGAGGTTGACGGCGATACGTAACGGGCCGACTCGAAAAAACACTATTTTTTTTAAGAACGATACGAAAGTTCGAGTTGAAACATTGAATTACACTGAGTAAGAAATGCGAAATTAGCAGGTTTTTCAAGAGCATCTGATTCTAAAGATGAAAATGATTGCATACATTATGAAAGAATCTAGCTGAATCGAATCAAGGGTCGTAATCGAGTCCGAGTCCGAGCATCTCTAGTTAGCCAATAATGGCCATGCCACGTTGTTGAAACAGAAGCCTTGTAAAATTTGGGCCTCTGCTAACAGGCCCAAAAGTACTTTTGGGCCCAACTACGTCAACTCTATAGTCCAGAGACTAGCCCAATAATATAATGACCATTCAGACAGGCCAGAGGCCCATTCAAAATTAACAAAGATAAATATATAATAAATCCATCAAAATTACAATAAAATCCTCCCATCTAATTTATCATTGAAAATTTAATAAAATAAATAAATAAATATTTTATTCCTTTTAGGGTTATTAAATTAAAAAAGGGAAATATGTTTAATATTTTTCATGTACGTTAACGAATGACCTAACATTTCCCGGTATCCCATGCAACATATCACGATATTTACTCTTTGCTTCTTGGAAGATTATCTCTACAGACCAACACGAGTCCTTTTAGCATATTTTGTCCTCATTCACGTTCATTTTTTGAAAATTTCTAGGAGGTCACCTTACATAGAGTTGTTTCAAGTAAAACACGTTCAACCATGAAATTCATATGATTAAGCCAATGAAAACGAAGGTGCACATTGTTGGTATAGATAGTAACTTTCAATTATTCTGAACGTTTTTTTAGTTATCCTATTCTTAGAATCGCTCTCATTTGGATGTGGGTTTCAGTTTATTCACATACCCTTTCTTTTACTCGGGTGTCACATGTCCACCAACTTCCACATTGCTAAGGGAGCTACCGCTTTAATACCATCTGTAACAACCTATGTCCAAGATTCAGATTAGGATTCGCTTTCATTCGGATGTGGGTTTCAGTTCATTCATGTACTCCTTTTATTCGGGTGTCATATGCCCACTAACATCTACATTGTTAAGAGAGGTACCGCTCTAATACCATCTATAACAACATATGTCCAACATTTAGATCAGGATTTACTCTCATTCGGACATGGGTTTCAGTTCATTCATATACCCTTTCTTTTACTCGGGTGTCATATGCCCACTAGAGAGGTACCGCTCTAATACCATCTATAACAACCTATGTCCAAGATTTAGATAAGGATTCGCTCTCATTCGGATGTGGGTTTCAGTTTATTCATGTACTCTTTCTTTTACTCGAGTGTCATATGCCCACCGACATCCACGTTGCTAAGGGAGCTACCGCTCTAATACCATCTGTAACAAACCTACGTCCAAGATTCATATCAAAATTCGAAATCTGGATTCACTCTTAGAAGCAAAAGAGTAATTAGCGTGAACATGTTACAAGAGACGTAGGGGAATGTCGGGACCATCAAGTGCCGAATTCAATTTCGACATCGTGCGCATGAGTCGTTACGGTCAAATGGAGTGAGCGACGACTAATTATTAGATTACTAATTGTTTGAATAATAGAACATAAAGTAAAGAAGACAATTGGAGGAAAGAACAGAGAAAGAGCAGCTCAGAAAAGTTTGGATTATACGAAGAACATGAAAAGGCAAACATTCTGTGCAATTTCCAAAAGCAGATTCCTATGTCTTGTAACAAAACAGCTCCAGCACAAAAATCCAAAGCCAAATTTGGGATTATGTCCTTTGTTAGACCTACAATTGCAAATGCTTTAAACCAACCAAAAAAAAAAAAATTAAAACCTTTGCAATTTTCTTTTTCGATGGCTTAATCATAGAAATTTTATATGTTTCTAGGATGCATGTGAGTGAGAACAAAACATGTTGGAATAACTCGTGTCTAGTCAGGTTTGTGGCTGATAGTCTTCACTCTTAGAGAGTAAGGAATAGGTAACTTGACCATGTCGCAAAAGATGCAAGGGAATGCTAGGGTCATAAGGTGCCGAATCCAGATTTTGAATCCTAATCTTTTGTCATGTAGTTGATGCACGGGAATGATGGGGCCATTTGGGGCCACTAGGTACCAAATCCAGATTCTGAATCCTAATCCATATCATGCGTATGGGGCGTTACACGTATACTCTTATGATGCATGTGAGTGAAGACAAAACATGCTGGAAAGACTCGTGTTGGTCTGTAGGGATGATGCAAACAAGCTGAATAGACTCGTGTTGGTCTGTGAGGAGGATGCAAGGGAATGCTGGGGTCATCAAACGACAAATCTAGATTCTGAATCCTGGGCATAGGGTATAACCATACCAAGACTAGGACACACGAGGAGCCATACCGAGACTAGGACACACGATCAACCATACTGGGACTAGGACACACGATTAGCCATACTGAGACTAGGACACAACCCGAACTCTTAGGACACACGATTAGCCATACTGAGACTAGGACACAACCTAAACTCCCACGAAGACAACCGTGAGAAATCAAGTAAAAATAGTACGAGGGTTTGATAAGATTACGTTCGATACACAATCATTAAACCCCACTTAAGCAAAAAGGGTTAAGGATTTAGGTGACCAATTATGCAATGATAATCAAGTTTTAATGAGATCTTAATGAAGATTAGTTGGTAATAATAATGTTAAGAACATATAGGAGATTTTAAGGAAGACAGAAAATCAGACAAAGAGTGTTGGTTCAGTGGACATTAGCATCAGAACTTTTAATGAATGTTTGTTTGTTGGTTGGTTCCCAATGGCTGCTACAACCTGGCAAGGACCCCTTGTTAATGGGTCCCCATTGATCCCATGTCACTGTGACATTGTCTTGGTCCACTGCTAAGAAAGAAAAAGATGGACATGGAGGAGATGTATCAGTCTTCTTCCTTTCACTTTAGTTTCACTTGGGGTGGACAATATTTTAATTTATGCACGCGCTCGGGTTTTGTTTTTGAACTTTTTGTTCCGACCCAAAACGGAGATTTCAAGATACAAACTTTGAGAAGAGTCAGTGACTCGTTTGAATTATGTTTGGACGAGCTAAAAACATAGACACGATGACAATCTAAGAAAAAATGAAGAAACAGTTAAGAATGTCTTTGTTTGGACCGAGAGATTTGAAGTTATGATCTTCGAGAAGAATTAGTATAGTAATTGGTTCGTTGAATTGTGTTTAGACCAACTAAAAACATAGACACGGTGACAATCTAAGACAAAATGAAGAAACAGTTAAGAATGTTTGTGTTTGGACTGAGAGATTTGAAGTTATGATCTTCGAGAAGAATTAGTGTAGTAGTTGGCTCGTGGATTTGTGTTTAGACTAGCTAAAAACATAGACACGGTGACAACCTAAGACAAAATAAAGAAACAGTTAAGAACGTTTTTGTTTGGACCAAGACATTTGAAGTTGATTTTCGAGAAGAATTAGTATAGTAATTGGCTCGTTGAATTATGTTTAGACCAACTAAAAACATAGATAGAATAGTGACAAAAGATAGTTATTACTCGTATATTTACTTAGCTCAATTATTTATATATTAGTTTTATTTATAAACTTGAATTGTGAGATCCCACGTCGGTTCTAGAGGAGAACGAAACATTCCTTATAAGAGTGTGGAAACCTCTTCATAACAGACGCGTTTTAAAGCTATGAAACTGATAACAATATGTAACGGGTCAAAACGGACAATATCTGTTAGCGGTGGACTATAATATTTGTCGATGAGTATAAATTAGGTCAATTCATGTCCATAAAAATAAAAAATAAAGGTTTTAAATGTCAAATTATTAATATTATTTTAGTATATAGTTTAACCAATTAGAATATATCGATATTTATGCCTAATATTTGGCAGTTACTTAGATATAAGAAAATTGATGACACAGTGCATCAATGCTTTTTTTCCATATAAGGAATTGGTCAACTAAGAAAAAGGGTAAAACGGGCATGTATAAAAATTACGTGCCAACACAGAATGTAGCTATGGCATGAGGTCGAGATTGTACCTATACTTGGTCTCACTAGAAGGTCTCAGGTCGGGCCGACCTTTCAAATAGGTATGTGTCATGCATGTTCTCGACTCGTGATTTCCTGTTTCAATTCTCGATCCAGGTTATATCAAACAGAAAATAAGCTAAATTCAATAATAATAATAATAATAAATATAAATATAAAATTATAACCTGATTTTATTATTTGTACTTTAAAAAGAAAAAAGAAACGGTAAAGCGTTTTCATTATTCTCAAAGTGAAATGACGAATTTCTCCCTTGACGAAATTACCAAATTACCCTAACAATTAAAACGCGCCGTTTCGTATATACTTAAACAGACTATAAATTAGGTCGGTGCTCTACCATCCAATCTCAAATTCGATCTTCTTCTTCATCTTCATCCTCGCCGCCGCAGTTCCCAATTCTAGAGAGAGAAGCAGATTACCAGTAGAGAGAGAAACAAAACCGATGGGAAATTGCCAAGCCGTAGACGCAGCATCTCTAATCATACAACACCCAGCCGGAAAAATCGACCGATTATACTGGCCAGTGAACGCCGGCGAGATTATGAAGTCAAATCCCGGCCACTACGTTGCTCTTCTCATCTCCACCGAAATCTGCTCATCGGAAACCTCTGACCTTCACTGCCGCCGCCGCGATAACCACCGGCAAACAAACAGCACGAATTCCAACTCGGTCCGTTTAACCCGAATCAAGCTGCTCAAGCCCACCGATTCCCTCGTTCTAGGCCAAATTTACCGCCTCGTCAAAACCCAAGGTTTGTTCAATCCTTCAATTTCTTGCTCTGTTCAATTAATTCCTCTGATTTGCGAACTGGGTTCTTAATTTCTTGTTGTGGGTTAGACGTTTTGCAGGGTTTGAAAGCCAAACAGGAAGCGAAAATGAAGAAAAACATGTTGGATTTTGAGGGAAAACTTCAAAAATTTGAGAAGGAAACTGAAGGAGATAGTAATCAGGTGGGTTTTTTTCCAATGTTCATGTTTCGATTCCTGGAAAATCTGTGGTTCATAAATGGATTATGATCATTGCTTGTTTTCAATTCGTTTTAGATAATGAAAAGTGAGAGAAACAGAGCAGTGTGTTCATCGGCTAAATCGAGAGGATGGCAGCCGTCTCTGCAAAGCATTTCAGAGAGTGGAAGCTAAGGATTTAAGGTTTATGATTCGAAAATGTAATGATGGGAAGAAATTGTGGGAGTTTTAGAGTGAGATTTGTGCATAAAAAGGTGTAGTTCTTACAGAAACAGAGCAGAGGTCAAAGGGAACACTGTGCTTTGAATTTCATTTGAGAAACTGAAAATTGGGTTTGGAAGATTGAAATAATTCCTGAGTTGTTTGTGTTCTTGTGTTCTTGTTGAGATAGATGAACATTTCTTGTTTGTTTGTTCGGTTTCTTGAATAGTTTGAATGGAATAGAAAGAAATTCCATGGAGGAGAAAAAGAAAGTTCGGTGCACTAGAACAGCCTCACCAAACACTTACATGTTTGAAGTGTTTGGTGAAACGAAACATTCTTGAATGGCTTAATTATAGGAACTTCGAATTTAACGAGTTTGGCTTGGAACAATTATACTAGAAAGCATTAGTGAAGACAAAACATGTTAAAAGAACACAAAACATTCTAAAAGAACTCATTTTAACCTTAAACAAGTACCTAACCTAATCATGTGGTAAAGGATACAAGTAAATGTTTAATTGGAGAGAGAAATGAGTGTCAACTAGAGCACTGGCTTTGAAGGGGAGTGGATTATGAAATCTCATTTCGGTTGGAAACGGAATGAAGCGCTAGCCCCGAAGCTGGTGGATTGTGAGATCCCCCATCAGTTGGAGAGGGAAACGTAGGGGCTAGCGAGTGGATTGTGAGATCCCCATCAGTTGGGGAGGGGAACGTAGGGGCTAGCGGGTGGATTGTGAGATCCCCCATCAGTTGGAGAGGGGAACGTAGGGGCTAGCGGGTTGGGTGGATTGTGAGATCCCCCATCAGTTGGAGAGGGGAACGTAGGGGCTAGCGGGTGGATTGTGAGATCCCACATCAGTTGGAGAGGGGAACCTAGAAACAAACCACTGGAGTTTGAAGGGGTGGATTGTGAGATCTCACATTGGTTGGAGAGGAGAACGAACCATTCTTTATAAAGGTGTACTGGAGTTTGAAGGGGTGGATTGTGAGATCTCACATTGGTTGGAGAGGAGAACGAACCATTCTTTATAAAGGTGTACGAAGCACTAACCAGGAACCCCAGTGCTCCGTATCTCACATTGGTTAGAGAAGAGAACAAATCATTCTTTACAAGGGTGTACGAGGCGCTGTGGTTCAAAGAGCGTGAATTGTGAGATCTCATATCGGTTGAAGAGAGTAACGAAACATTCTTTACAAGGGTGTGGAAACCTCTCTCTAGCATACACGTTTGAAGGGAAAATCCAAAAAAGACAATATCTGTTAATGGGTTTGGGTCATGACAATACCAGTACTAAGTCGAATCTGAATCTTGAAACACAAACCAAAATATAATATATTTGAAAGACGAACAACATAGAACGAAATCGACAACATATCTGATTTTGATCAAGGGTGAAGAGGAAGGAAGCAAAAGTGAGAGAGAAAGTGAAAGGGAATGAAGTGGGGCATGGAATGTTTGAGATAGTTGAAGCAAAGGAAACAACGTATAGGCAAAGGGGGATGGGATTTTGACCCAAAAAATGGAATTGATAGCCATTGAGAGTGCAAGAAAAGGGAGAGTGCGTGCTCTTTTAGCTTGTCTTTCTGTGCCATGCACGGCCACGCAGCATGCTCCAACATACCCCATCAGTACCAATCACTATGCATTCTCAAACACAAACCAACATCCTTCACCTTCCCATCTTTTTCATCATCACCACTTACTTTGAATCAAATTTTAAATCATACTCTTTTAAGTTCTAAACTTCGATCATTTCCGTCGTGTATGATGAACATCTGAATCAAATTTTAAAAACACGAGATAGCTAAAATTACTCCGTGTTAAAAATAAAAAAGTGTAACAGTCTAAGTCCACTGTTAGTAGATATTGTCCACTTCAACTCGTTATGTATCGTTGTTAACCTCACGATTTTAAGACGTTTCTACACTATTTAATAAGCGATCTAAAAGTAAATCTGATCACGTCAGGGTTGTTTGTGGGTTGGGACCTTTTTTCTCTCTTTTTTTTTTTTTATTAACGAAATTCAGTTGTTCGGGCCGTAAATTTTTTTGAGTTGGGTTGGTTCGGACTGTTCCGATTGTTTATTCAACATTTTCAAACATTTAATTAAGATTTTCAACTCAATTTAAATATTTATTTTTTAAAATGAAGAATAAATAATAGTATTATAATTATTGCATCGTAAGCAAAATGTATTTTTTAAAATTAACATTAAATTCGAGTCAGTTCGGTTTAACCTAATCTAATTTCAGGGGAATTTACGAACTAAACCCGTCCATAAAAATTTTATTTATTTGAATCCAATCCAACCCAGATCGTACGAATTGAGTTGAGTTGATAGGGTTTTTAAACACCCGAGAAATAGTTAGAATTAATTATTTTTGTAAAAAAAAAACGAGAGATAATTTTATTTGATAATGATTTAAATGGGAATTATTTAGAATTGATGGGTGAAAGAATTTAAAATGATAAATTTGCAAAAGATATTTCAATCATATTATAAAAAGAAATGCCTAAAGTTATAATATATACCTAGAAATAGTCACATTATAGCCTATATGAATCAATTGGTACAAAATATTTGACCATATTTATTTACCCATAAAAAAACGTTCAAATAATTAATTTAATAATTAAAATAAATGCATAAATAACTCGAGTACACGAAGAACTTCTGCATCAAGAAATAAAATAATTATTCAATCTTTGACAACTGTTCCCCAAAATGATTACGATCGAATTCCCACTTGCCCTTTGCTTGCTTTTAAAGAAAGAACTTCACGACCCACTTTTTAGGAGATGACGTCTTTCTAAGATTTAGTTTCTTCCGCTCGATTAATATTTCATTTCACATCACGAGAATGATTGTGAATGAAACATTTAGAAATGTTTAATTTCATTGTAATTTCATTATGATCTGAAGCGTTGTATTTGGGTATCGAATCGTTTAGGTCAAGTGGTTGATGTCAATCGGATTTGGGTTTTGTTCGAGTACTGAGCTACTATGCTACCGGACCCTACCAAGCGATATGTCAAATTGACCGTAAATATTAAAACTCTTAAAATTTTTAAATTAAATTATGATTTAGTCCCTAAACTATATTAAAATTGCGTTTAAGAGCTTGTAGTTTCATATAATTATTTTTATTAACCATTGAAATAAACCAAAAGGGGGAGGGAAATTAAGGGCATTTGGTCTTGTTGCCATGCGTGGTCATGCCGGTGTAGCAAGTGCCGCACATCTCACGGTTACCTGAAGTCCCCGGCGGCACGCAGTTGCAGCGCAAGCAGCACGTCCCGCACACCCTCAAGCACCGGTTCGGCCTTGAATGCGCCCCACATCGCCGCTTGCACTCCCATCCACAGTCTATAGACAATTCTTATTAAGTAATGAATCAAACTCAAACGGTTTGAATCTAACCCAACTCGAATAAGTTTATAACCCAATTCAAACGGTATAGGTTGAGTTGGATTAATAAAGTTTTTTGGGTAATCGAGTTTTTGAACACCACTGTAATTTAAACCTAACCCAACTCGAATAAGTTTATAACCCAATTCAAATCATACGAGTTGAGTTGGATTAATCAGGTTTTTTGGATAATCGAGTTTTTTAACACCACTGTGATTTAGACCTAACCTAACTCGAATAAGTTTATAACCCAATTCAAATCGTACGGGTTGAGTTGATTTGATTAGGTTTGTCAGGTAATTGGGTTTTTGAACACCACTGTGATTTAAACCTAACCCAACTTAAAAAAGTTTATAACCAAACTCAAACCGTATGGATTGAGCTGGGTTGATAAGATTTTTCAGGAAATCAAGTTTTTGAATACCACTACAATTTAAACCTTCCAACTCGAATAAGTTTACAACCCAATTCAAATCGTACGAGTTGAGTTCGGTTGATTAGGTTTTTCGAGTAATCGGGTTTTTGAACACCACTGTGATTTAAACCTAATCCAACTTGAATAAGTTTATAACCGAACCAAAACTATACAGATTGAGCTGGGTTGATAAGATTTTTCAGGAAATCAAGTTTTTAAATACCATTACGATTTAAACCTAACCCACCTCGAATAAGTTTAGAACCCAATCTAAACCATACGGATTAAGTTGGATTGATCAGATTTTTCGAGTAATCGCGTTTTTTAACACCATTATGATTTAAACCTAACCCAACTCGAATAAGTTTATAAATCCAATTCAAACAGTACGGATTGAGCTGGGTTGATCAGGTTTTTCAAGTAATCGAGTTTTTGAAAACTACTATTCGTTTCTTACCTATTTTCGTCATCACCCTCTCGTTTGGCCTCCTCACCATCCCTCCTCCTCCTCCTCCTCCTCTGGGGTTTCCATCGAAGCCCACCGGAGCACCATGAAGAAAGCTTGCCGGTGAAAGGCAGAGGAAGGCAAGAACTCCAAGAAGAAGGAAACGAGCAGCCATGGGAGCTTTCCTAAGCGTTATGAGGACACTTCCTGCAACATCTTCTTGAGCTGTTCATATAATGAACTCTTGTGGTGTTGTGAATTTCCCAAACAGGACATGGCTTGTTGGGAAAATTACATGAGAGTGGCAGAGTGGGCGAGCTGGAAAGCCTGTCGTGTGGGGACATTTTTGTCTTTTTGGATACACATTTCGCCATGCATGTCACTACTCATAATAATCCCAACCAAATGGCACTCTCGAGCTGATCGTAATTTTATGTCGGTTTCGTAGGCATTTTTCTGATCGGATCAATCTCACCGACCCAAAAAGAGTCTTGCACTCTAAACTAACCGAACCCGAACCCTATTATACTCAAATTTTAAAAGATTAAAAAGTTTAACGTTTGTAATTGATGTTAACGATAGACACTGACTTATAAATGTTTGAGAATTTAGTTGTTAATGTAACGTGAATCAGTAGCATTTTTCGACAATTCAATAAAAAAAAATAGAGGGTTGGGTTGGATTATGAACTCTATTCAAATGGTTCGGATTACCGACTAAAAATTTCGAATTGGTTCAAGAGTGAGCTTGTAATGGAAACGAGCTTGGGGTGAGCTCCCACGAACATGCTGTCTTCCACTATTTGCATAAAGACGACAATAAAGTTGCTGAAAATAATTTGCAAAACCACACACTTGTGTTTTTACTTGGGAATTGAATTCTGACCTCTTTTGGACTAAGAAGTTGGATATACGTGTCTTCTACCCTATTATAGATTCAAATGTTTCGTGTTTCGTGTTACGTAATAGTTTCAGTTGATGATTCGTGAGATCTAACAATTCAAACCTAGCTCACACAGTCTAGTAGACTAACTTACCAACAAACCAAGTCTAAGCTTGGTTAGTGTGAGATCTCACATAGGTTAGAGAGTCGAACGAAACATTCGGGTGTGGATGTCTCTCCCTAATAGACTTATTTTAAAATCGCGATACATAACGGGCCAAAGTAGATAATATTTGCGAGCTGTGGTCTTAGGCTGTTACAAATGGTATCATAGCCAGAGAGCGGGCAGTATGCCAGAGACGACATTGGGCCCTTGAGGAGGGTGTGGATTGTAAGATCCCATATTGATTCGAGAGGGGAAAGAAACATTCCTTATAAGGGTATTTGGGCCCCAAGGAGGGTGGATTGTGAGATCTCACATCGGTTGGAGAGGAACGAAGCATTTCTTATAAGGGTGTGGCAATCTCTCTCTAATAGACTTATTTTAAAACCGAGAGACTGACAGTAAGATACGCAACGGACCAAAGCAGGATAATATTTGCGAGCTGTGATCTTAGGCTGTTACAAATGGTATCAGAGCCAGACAACGGGTGGTATGCCAGCGAGAACATTGGGCCTGTAAGGAGGGTGGATTGTAAAATCCCATAATGATGGGAGAGGGGACGAAACATTTCTTATACGGGTGTTTGGGACCCCAAGGAGGGTGGATTGTGAGATCTCACATCGGTTGGAGAGGAATGAAACATTTCTTATAAGGGTGTGGCAATCTCTCCCTAATAGACTTATTTTAAAATCGAGAGACTGACACCCAGATACGTAACAAATCAAAGCAGATAATATTTGCGAGCTATGGTCTTAGGCTGTTACAAATGGTATCATAGCCAGAGAGCGGGCAGTATGCCAGAGATGACATTGGGCCCTTAAGAGGGTGTGGATTGTAAGATCCCATATTGATCCGAGAGGGGAATGAAACATTCCTTATAAGGGTATTTGGGCCCCAAGGAGGGTGGATTGTGAGATCTCACATCGATTGGAGAGGAACGAATAATTTCTTATAAGGGTGTGGCAATCTCTCCCTAGTAGACGCTTTTTAAAACAGTGAGGCCAAAGACAACACGTAACGAATCAAAATATTTGCTAGAGTGTGCTTGGATTATTACACCTGGCGTGACCCAATCCTCAAGACATCCAACCCAACAACCCACACGTACAATTGCGCCCAACCCCACGTACACGCATCCTACTAGTATGGAGCAACCCAGCACCAAACACCAGCTCAAACTCATCGACACTATCCAAGCCATCCATTATTTACAGGTTTAAATAACTCGTACCTGTCGATGCATAAAGACATTCTATGATACATATTATGACATGACATGACGTGATACGAAAGAAAATACAAAATTATTTTAGAAAAAATTAGGAAATTCAAAAAAAGGGTTTGATCACAACAGACACTCCAAGAACTTCTCCTATTCAACTGAAAACCATTGTATGGATCCCATTTTTTCTCTCATTCATTAATTTTAATCCAAATTTGGTTGTTTTTGTTTAGCTTATTGCATCCTTCTTCTTCTTAATGTTCTTCATTGCCCTCCATTGGAAGTGGCTTCCCCATAGATAAGGAGGAAGCAATAACTTCTCTTCTTCCTCCTCCTCCTTTTCACCTCAACCATGGCTTTCCCTTTTCTTTTTCTCATTGTCCTCTCCGTCCCCATCTCCGTCCACTCGAAACTCACCCTCGGTTATTACCAAAAAACATGTCCCAACTTCGAGAAGATCATCCGCGAGACCGTCACCAATAAACAAATCAATAGTCCAGTTACCGCCGCAGGAACCCTACGACTCTTCTTCCACGACTGCATGGTCGATGGTTGCGATGCCTCCGTCCTCATTTCCTCCAATACCTTCAACAAAGCCGAACGTGAGGCCGATATCAACCATTCCCTCTCTGGGGATGCCTTTGATGTCATCATTCATGCCAAAACTAACCTCGAACTCGTCTGTCCTGGAATTGTATCTTGTTCTGATATCTTAGCTCAGGTAATATTTTTAGTTATATACTCGTGATCTTCTACTTACTTAGCTAATGTGAGTGTTCGATGAGTCTGGTTGATTTCAGGCGACTCGGGATTTGGTGGTGATGGTCGGAGGTCCGTTCTACAACGTTCGATTAGGGAGAAAAGATGGGATGATATCAAAATTAGAGAATGTGGAAGGGAACCTCCCATTAGTGAGCGATTCAGTGGACCAACTCATTGATATGTTCGCCGGAAAAGGGTTCACGACCAAAGAATTGGTGGCACTTTCCGGCGGCCATACCATCGGATTCTCCCACTGCAAGGAGTTTGCCGGCCGCCTCTTCAATTTCAGCGCCACCGCACCAACTGACCCAGACATTTACCCAAAATTCGCGGAGAAACTCAAGGTCATGTGCGGTAATTTTCAAAAGGACTCCGACATGTCAGCATTCAACGACGTAATGACACCTGGCAAATTTGACAACATGTACTATCAGAATCTGCCACGTGGACTTGGATTATTGGCTACTGACAATGCGCTAGGTAAGGATCCGAGGACCAAGCCGTTTGTGGATATGTACGCCGTGAACCAAACGGCGTTTTTTAACGACTTCGCTCACGCTATGGAGAAACTCAGTGTTCACGGCGTTAAGACGGGAAGGAAAGGGGAAGTTCGGCGAAGGTGTGATCTGTTCAATTCTATTAAGACATAAGATATTTGGATTTTCTTTTTTTATTTTTTTAACAAAAAAAAAAAAAAAAAAAAAAAAAAAAAAAAAAAAAAAAAAAAAAAAAAAAAAAAAAA